AAGTATTTTATATTAGATTATTCACAAGGATCTCAGAGATAATTCCTGTTGTCAAGGGAGCATAATTCGAGCCTAAATTCGCGAGAATCAACCTGTATATGTTTCCCCTAGCGCTGCGTTTATTTGCGAGATTTCTGCCGAATTGAGATTTGCTTCTGGTTGTTGAAGAAAACGGTGTAAAAATTAAGCTGATATTGAGCGGTATCAAGAAATTCTCTTTCTCTCTTAACATATAAACTAACCCTTTACAGTCAGATAAATTTCAAGTAAAATATTCGATTGACCCATTAGTCATACCATTACACTTCTATCCAGATTCACGAGGGCTATCACAGATCAGTAAAAAGATGCAGGAGTTAGACCGTGAAGTGTTAAAATGATCGCACCTTTGGGATTCTCACATACTTCACGATACAAAGGGCCAAACAATGGAAAACGGGTTATTCACCACCATATCCTTAACGACACAGAAATGAATACTTTCATTATTGAAACTGTTACACTTTTCCTTATTCTCGTAGTGTAATGAAATAAAAGTTGTCAATTTGGCTATTCCTCTTGTTACTTCTTCATCGTATAGAAAGAGCTGGAAGAGTTGCAACAGCGTGAACGTGCTGAACGTGAAGCCTGGGAACAGCATACTAAATCGGTGCTTGAGACACAGTGCGCTTCACGTGAGAATGGTTTGCGAGATCAACTGAAACGCGAAAGAGATAAACAATTGGAGGCGGCTATTCGTCGACTGGAAGCGGAATCGAATGAGACCAGAGCGGAGGTGGAACGGGAGGCCGAGAACAAAATCAAGTGAGCACGTAACTGACACCATGGGATAAGATTGGGATCGAATGTATGTTTAGACTGTAGCAGGAGTCTGCTGTTCATCATTGTTTAAAAATCACGGCGACTTAATGGGAGTTTATTTTTGAAGTTTTCCTAGAGTGGTTTTTCATCTCTGAAATACCAAACTGACCTCTAAGTTTAATTAACTTCTAGATGCCTAATGAAAGTGCTTCTTGCAGTCGTTCCTTTAAATTAGAAAACGTCCAATACAGGTTTCTTTTGTTTTGCATCTTTTTACGTTTTATTTAG